TGCCTCTAAGAATGATGCATGTAAATGCAGTAAATATTTAACTCAGATGAATCTCCAATTCTTTATGTTGATCCACAATTAACCATTTGTAATCTTACATATTTATGTCCTAAAAAAAGCTGAAGAATGATCTTTGAGCTTTTAAAACTAATGGGTTAAATAAACAAATGTTTGCTTAACAACAGCATCAAAAATCACAACAGCGTTGAAGGTGTATTTAAACTAACTTGTAATTATCACCCTAACTCAGGCAGCTTTATGAGGACACTAATTGAAGAACCCTCCAGCTGAAATCTTACTACAGCTCAGTAGCCAAAGTCAGGCGTAAAACAATGACACAGGACAGACTTCCTGGATCAGGAAGATTAAGAAAAACTGACAGCCCTAGGACTTAGAAATGCGGTTTTATGAATTAGTGGAACAGAATTGGTTCTGAAAGGAAGGAAAAGTCACTGACAAATGACATTAAAGAGCAGCTGAACTGGGAGGGGAGCAAACCTCATTCCAAGGTTGCCATTTCCTTCATAAAAATAACCCAAGGCACCAAACATGACTCACTCTACTTGAAAAATAATAAAACTGAGTATTATTTCTGGCTACATTACCTTTAGGGCTTTGCTGTTTCTCTCCGTTGTCATGATGCCGCTGTCTTCAGCTTTTTGTTTCCAACCTCCGAGCACCAGTCAACACAAATATAGACACCCTGGAAGCAGAGAAACAGGACACACATCACCACCAAAAACACACAGTAGGTTAATACATGTGACTCAAGACATTGTGCTGTTTTGGTTCATATCTGGCCTGACATTTACCATCCGCTCACAAGACAGTCAGTCATGCACGATAAAGAAAAGGAGAAGCCACAGCCCGGTCATGCTTCTCCAAAAATGTGCTCTCTCATTAGACTGTGTGGCTGATATGAAAGGAAGAGGAGGTTTTGAAAGCAACACAACGTTTACTGTTCACTGGAATTGTGAGGAGGAAGTTGTCGTGCGTCTGCTCTTTGGTTTCTCAAAGCAGGTGTCCCAACAATTCCCTCCACACTTCCTCCTGTCAACAAAACACCCAACGGCTCTATGCTTTCATTGTTAAAAACAATTAAAGAAATGTCTTCTTTAACGGTGTGGTCCAAGTTTAAGTCATGGTCCATACCTTTGGCTATCTTGCTTTATTCCTGTTTTAGCCCAACCTTTGTTAGACTTTTTGGTCAGTTTAGGTGCATTTCTGTTACATTCAAGCTAATTTTCACCATACTTTCCTATATTACTTGGCTATCTTTTAGCCATACCTGAGCAGTAATCAAGATGTTTTTGGTTATTCTAAAGTCCTTCTGCTCACTTTTTAAAGACGTAAAATTTGGTTAGCCATTTTTCTGACCAATGTTTGGCTAAAATGCAAATTCTTAGCCATTGTGCTACATTTGGATATTGTTTAGTAACTTTCTGGTTATGTTTTTGTTTTATGAACCTAATGCCCTTTTTAGTTTTGGCACTTTTGAGAACTCTGTCAAAGATTTACTAGCTTGTTTTTTTGTGGAAATAAATCCAAGAACCTGCTGATAAACTGTACCTGAAATGCTGACATGTTAAAGTTAGGAAAGTACAGTGTAGATCGACGTTCGTTTGTGAAAAAGAGGTCAATGAGTCTGTACTGCCTTCAACACAGTGTTTAAAAATGTCCCATTCACACATGACTCGGGGACTTCCTGCACGTCTCTTAAGGTCACAAGCTCACAAATGTTGTTGTGTGCGTGGGTTTAAAGTCCAACAGGAACTGTTTTCCCCTTTGTAATTTTCTCGCTTGATTTGTTTGTGGCCTTCAGATCACTGCTGTGTTGATGAAGTGAGTGCAGTTCAGCCTTCGGCGGTATTTATGTCTGGTTTCACCAATAAGGTCAAATTTGACATCATTAAACCACGAGGTATTTTCCCACACTGATTTTGGGGGGAGATTTGGTGTTCGCTGCAACATCAGCAACACCTATGGTGATGAAATGCACCCTGTTGATGTGTTATCAGATCTAAACCTTTGTTTCTCTCTGAGAAATAGCTGTGAATACTCCTGCCACAATATGGTGACATTTAATAAACGTCTTTTGAACTGGATTAGGGGAATTGTAAATCTTTCACTAGACTATACTAGAGGAAGTAAACATGTCATTCCGTATCAGTGAAATTTGTGGGGAAAGCCCTAATGTGGTAGCATCTCCTTTTAGCGAGTTTTAATCAAACATCTTTGAGGCTGGATGATTAAAACCTGACTGAGTTTACTGTTAACATGATATACTGTATTTTTTTCCATGCATACTTCTGCCCCACAGTTACAAAAAGGTGTTATTATGCAGCTATAAATTATTTGCACATTAGCTCTTCACGTTTTCTGTTTTGACACAAACACATGTGGTACATGTGAAAGTCTCTAAAAGCCTAATCTTGTTCATGGCTCTAAAATAAAAGATATTAAAGGCTTGTGTCAGTCACCTGGAGTTGACGTGGATTTAAAGACAAGCCTTGAGTTGTTCTGCTGAACTCAGCAGTACTGGAAAAATACACAGGCACTATGCCGACAGGACAGGAAAATGAACCACCAAAACAGAAAAAGAATGCATACATTTATGAAAACAAGCAAGGTATAGGATGACTTCACAGATTTGTTTGACAAGACCAAATTATTATTCATATTTTCAATACATCTGGGCATAATTCTAGTATAAAGTTTTATAATATTAGGCTTATATATTCAAAAACGTATGTAGACAGAAGCAAAGATTTTTATAAATTAAGTAAAATCTTGAAATATATGCGTTTTCTGAGGACATTGGAATTGACATGTTACTGAATTTGACTGAGAAAATATCCTGATTTTTGTTCGTGTTTATACATTGAAGCTATAAAGAGTTCAGAAGTAATACATTTAAAAAAGGATATAAACATTAAATCTAGAATACCCTCCTGATACCTTTTAGGTATTGATAACCTTGGATTATTATTCTCCTCCAGTACACTGGTCCAAGCCCTCCTCCATATCTCACTTTAGCAGCTAGCTTATCAAAACAAACGAAGAGTAAAACTATAACTCTGACTATTTAGCTTAAAGATCCAGAAGCCAAATTTATTACAACTTTTATCTCAAAATAGTCGAATGTAGACATTGTTTACAAAAGGTTGTGTAAACACAAAATACTTATTTACACGTTAAATACAATTAAATAATCGAATTTCAGCAAAAAACAATCCGCGTGTTCCCTTGTGTCAGTTCATGAACAGCATGATAAGCATTCACAGCCCTTTAGGCCTGGAATCTCTAGACAAACAGGTGCTGATCCATAAGGAGGGTTAACACAAAAGTAGCCACAATGGTTCTCAGATTGCTGAAAATAACTCTTATTTCCCGAAAAGCGTGGGAACCGGTGGTTTAAAGGCAGGGACGAAGGTTTGTCCAAAGCGGTCGCGGCTGTTCCGTATAGTCAGGGTGATTCAGCAATAATAACCTCTGCCTCAGCTCCAGTCTGAACCACAAGACTGGGAAAAACAACACTGACCACGACTTTTCCTCTCCTTTATTTTTATCCCTTTTTGTCCACGCAGCACATTTGCTAATGTACTTTAGCGTGAATAACACTTGTGACAGCTTCGCACGAATATTACCATCGTTAACAAACGCAACAAGTGAATGTAGCTCTGCCATATTCGACCTAGTGGTTGTATAGTTAAATAGCTACATGTCTGTTCTTTTTAATGTCGATTTTTTAAAAAACCTAACTCGTACTACAATTTAAATCAGTATTTATTTATATACGAACAGTCTAGAATCCACCCTTGTCCTTATAGGGAGCTAGTGCTGTAGTAAACAGCCATTTACACAAGTGACATCGACATCCATTTTGAAAGGACTTTAAACAGCTATTTGAAATATATTTCACGTTCCATGAGACATAAAGGTTTTAGGTACATAACACAAACGTTGGTAGGCAGCTGCTTAGGCGTCTGAATATGAAACGAGACACCACATTACCCGCATCATCTCAAACATGCTAATATGAGTTAGCATATAGCATCAACGGTCAGTGGTATAGCACACATCTTCTTAGTCTTTTGGTTGGTTTGTAAATTCAACCAGCCCACGCCAGCGCTTTAAATCCTAAATACACATTAATTAACATCCGATCGTATGGTTTGTAGGGGTTATAAAGTAAATGTTTTTGTTACCTGATGTGTCGAAGCGACTCCGGCGACAAAATGTCAGTCCGCCTTTTCCCGGAATTACTCCGCTGCTCTCTGAGCCCCTCACTGGATTCTTTCATTCATAAAAAACACAAGCGACAATGACGTCAGGCACAAAGAATGAGGGCGGAGCCAAACCCCGCCCCCGCGGCGTACTCCGAAAGGATGTAAACAAGGAATCCCTGCATCCTAGAATTTTTCCATGACCACCCACAAATCAACCAACCAACTACCAGACGACTCCTCCTTCACTGTTCCCAGAACACCGCATTCCATTTCTTTTCCTTTCTCAGGAAAAACGATAAGACCGAGCCTGAGAAGACAGGGTCACACGACACAGACCCGACGCCATGTCAGCAGAATCTAACTTTAACAATGTATAAACAAAGCTTTGAAAAAAGACGCATGTCTCTGTTTACTTGTGGAACTGCAGGGTTTGAAACAGACTTGGACTCACAGAATGAACGATGAACTTCAAGTTGTTAAGTATCTTGTTGTAATTTAAAAGTTTAAAATGATTTTTTTAATGTTTGATAATGTTTCCAACAATGTTGGCCATGACTCAGTATTGGGTTGTGGTTGGTGTTGGGCAAGTTACTTGGAATGAGTAATAAGTAACTCATTAGAATTTACTTTTTTCCTTTTGATAGTATCATGACATTGCTGAGTGGGGATGCAGTAAAAAATAAAGCCAGTAGGTGGCAGTAATGTCTGACTGCTCCTGTTATAAAAGGCAGGAAGTAAGTAGGCTTACTTTTTGGCCTTGGGTGACAACTACAGTAGTTAGGTTAAAAAGACTCAAAACCCCTTTGACTTATACAATATTAATTGAAATTATTTTAATAGTTATGCTTGCTTGGTGAATAGCTATATTTTATAAGAGCTTTGACTTGAAAGCCAACAATAGTGATAAGTAACAGTAGTAGTAAGTAATAATAATAAATTACATCAAGTCACTTTTTTGTACTTTATTGATATTGTTTTACAATTATTATGCACAAGAAGAACAGATTTGTTTTTGCTTTTTTTTCAGTTTGGTTAAATACCTTAACAGTGTTGTCTGTAATTGTCACAATACAATCCATTTATGACTCATATGTTACTGGTGACTGCAGTTAAATGTGGCAAGTAAATGAAATGGAAATTACCATTAATCCCTATTTAGGCAGTTTTTGTATTTTTAGCTTTCCTTCTTTCACGTTGCAAGACAATTACATAATATTGACATTATTCAGGGCAACATTAGAGGACAATACAGAAAGAAAGAAAAAACCCGACTTTGCAGCAGACACACAACTGGAAAACACTTTACTAGTAAAGTAATTTGTGTGGGCAGTAGACAAGCACAACCCACGACAAAAAATATACTGCTGACTCATACAGTATGTTTCCAGGGTGGGTTCCAAAGAAAGACTTTCACTAAGTAAAGTAAAACACTTTACTAATATTCAGTAACCTATTTGTTGTTATTAGTGTTGTTAGAATAAATGTATAAAACTACCTTCAGTAGTAATATGACCCTAAATAATGAAATACGGTAATAATTATAAGGGTGGAGTTTATTTATATTTTCAGCAAATCGTTTCTTTGTGTTTTTAGAGTCACTGACCAAAAAATTAGAATTATTTAAATGCTTAAACGATTATTTTGACGATTTAATAAAAAAAATAATTTTACCTCCCATACAACAGAAGGCGCTGTAAGCGTAAAGGCGCAGTATAACGTGACCCAATGTCTTTGACGTCATCCGACCCGGAAAAGCCTTACGTTTCTGGCTGACCTCAGTCTGGCGTTGCACGCCTTATAGCATTAGCCTCATTGAATGCATACAGGAAGCATTCCAGCAATAAAATAAACCGATAGTCGGATCTTTAACGACGTATTTACCACACATTTAGGTCGAAACGGTCCTGCAGGCCAAAACAAGAAACATGGCCACAATCGAGGAGCTTTCACCGGTGTCTGTGCGACCACCAGAGGACGAGATTGACGACGATGAAGATGAAGATGTGAGTATATCTGTTTAGGAGTAAACGGAAAAATACTTCTGTGTTGATACTAATTCTAAGTCATTTGTGTATTAAATTGTACTTACATGGCTGCACCGATACAACCAGCCATGTCAACCTGAGCCATCTGTTCTAGTTAAGGAGAAAGCCATTGCCATAGCCTGTTAAATCATACATTAGAGCTGCTCAAACGTAATGTCAATTTTCCACTTGTCAGTTTTACTAAAGAACCTTGTACCACGTCTTTATAATTCGATGTTTTTAATTGTTAAATTATTTCTTTCTTTTAACAGTCCATTACATCTATTTACTAATTACAGCCACTAATTATTTTTTTAAACTTTCTCCTCAGCTGGATGAGACATTGATGGAGAGGCTATGGGGCCTGACAGAGATGTTTCCTGATACAGTGCGTACAGCTGCAGAGGTGTCGGCACAGTGCTCAGTCTCAATAGTTAAGAAGTTATACACGTAAGTCTGAGTGTTTTTCCTTGTTATATATTAAAACATGCATTATAGGAATTTGTTTCAGTTTGTTTATTTCAATAACAAAATTCTGACTTCTGGCACGTGCATGTCATTCACATGTCTCTATTCTGTCTCTATTGCCAACAGCTTTTCCCGCGCTGCACTCTGGGTGGGCACAACCTCTTTTATGATCCTGGTGCTGCCAGTGGTGTTTGAGACAGAAAGACTACAGCTGGAGCAACAGCAGTTACAGCAGCAAAGACAGGTGAGAGTGTGATGTCGCTGAGATTATGGAAATTAGTTGTTGTGGTTAGTTTGCACTCCATCGTGTGCACTTAATTTCACCAAAGATGAGTATAAAACCCTGCTTGTCTTACGTAAACCATTTCAACTGCATGTTTGAAATAATCTCTGAACTCTCCTCAACCTCCAGACTTCTCTCATTTCTTTTTTAGAGAAGCATTTTCTTTGTCATAAATGATGGGCAGCATAAATTGACACAAGCTGCTGATATTTTTTCACTCTTTTTTCTTTTTTAGATTCTTCTGGGACCCAACACTGGAATGTCTGGTGGGATGCCGGGCATGATGCCCCCTGCACCTGGCAAAATATGAGCGAAAGGAAGGGTCGACACAAGGCAAAGATCTGCTGATATTACTACAGCAGGGCTGTTCACAAGGAGAGGCAGGGAGACCAGGGAGAAGAGCAGAGAACTGCAGAATAAAAAAGTTAAATGAAGAGGGGGAAAACTGGCAACGTGTGTTTAATGAATCAGAGCTGAAGGGGGAGGATCCAAAGCATCAGCCACTCTTTTCTCACTGTCTCTCCTTTGTTCCAACATCATGCAGAGACTGAGTTTCCTGGAGCACTGCTTCTGTTCTCTTTTTTCCATTAAAATACACACTTATATCAGCATGAGCACTGCAAACAAGGCAGATATAGGTGTATGAATTGTAAGAAAAAATATCCAGAGGTAACTGAATATCTTGGTGTGTGTGCGGTCTGTAGAACATTCATATGGTTTAGTTTATACTGTTGTTCACTGTAATTTTGCAGTTTAATTATAATGTTTGACAGAAGTGATTGGGTAAAAGGTGAGATAGATTCACAATAACATGCAATGCGTTTGCCACAGAGTGCCCATGTTTGAAATACTGTGACTAGACTAAACACATTTAATTTTCATCAATTTTTAAATTTTCAGCAGTTAAATTAGGCAGCAACACCAAGTTTTTGTGCTCAATAATAAACGATTGTTAGGTCTATTTTAATGGGTAATATAAAGAGTACAAGACTTTCTTAATATCATTGCCTCAATATTTTACCCACTTTAAAGGAATGTGGTCTTTCTGTGTTCATCCAAATGTTTTTTTTTTCATCATGGCTGTCAATAAAACACCAAATCAAATCTCACTTTTATTTTTGTCAAAACAAAATAAACAATCCACTAAAAAGGCAACAAACATTAACTGTAAAGTATAATTTATCATTAAAATGCATATAGTGCCGTTTACACATTTCTGTTTATCTTTAAGTTTCTGTTGGTGTTTTAAATACCCTGTCTTACTGTTGTGAAATTTACTTTAAAAAAATCACATTCTTTTTATTTATTATCATATTAGCTTCCCATTTGCCTTACATGTTAATATAATTAATTTACCACAACGTAGCAATTATTTTTAAATTCACTACAATTGCGGAATATTTCAAACTAAATATTCAACATTTTTAGTTCTCCAAATTTATTTTTTTTTCCGGATGCACCTGAACGCATCCAAAGATCGTCTGTCCCGCCGCTAAATGAGCTAAAAAAAATTAAGAAGCTAATAAGGAAAACGAATTCGAAGTAATAGAAAAACGCTTTTATTTCTGTGGGAGCTATTATTTTAAGAATTTAAAAAGTTCCTAGCAATTTCTGGTAATTTTAAAGTTTATTTTGTTTGAGAGCTTAAGAAGGACAAGCAGAATTTGACTAATGTTAGCATTCAACAGAGGCTAATTGTGTAGTTGTAGTAAGATTTTATAAAGCTTAAATTCTTTATTAGGATATTAGCAGTATAATAAATAATAATAACCACTTAAAATACGATTTATTTATGTCACAAAAAATGAAAGCTGCAGAAGATCAGGTTGTTGAAGATGATTCTGGTTTTCAGGACGATGAGGTAAGTGCCCTGAGAACTGGCTAACTTTTTAAATTATTTTTCTAATTAAATTTAAAACAATAATAGAGCCTGACTCAACACCAGTGTTTATCTTCCCAAGACTATGAACTGTATTTGAAAACTATTGTGTATTTGTTAGAGAGTTAGTGCCTCTGACATTGATTTTTTTTCCCCTCTTATAACAGGAGTCATTTTTCCAGGACATTGACCTCCTCCAGAAACATGGGATTGTGAGTCAACTAAAACACACTCTTTTGACCAAACTTGTTTTTGTTTTTTTTAGTCATCAGCTCACTCCTGTCTTCCCACTACTATGACAACAGAACGTGGCTGACATCAAAAAGCTGAAGTCAGTGGGTATTTGTACTGTGAAGGGGATACAGATGACCACACGCAAGGCCCTGTGTAACATCAAGGGTCTGTCAGAGGCAAAAGTTGAAAAAATCAAAGAGGCTGCAGGGAAGATGCTGGTAGGACAAAATATTATGTGGTCACATTGTTTAAGATAAAGTGATTTTCATACATTACATCAACTTTTGTACACCACAGAATGTCGGTTTCCAGACTGCCTTTGAGTACAGTGCAAAGAGGAAGCAAGTGTTCCACATCACCACCGGGAGCCAGGAGTTTGAGTTAAGACTGTTATTTATTAATAGTGTATAAAATATTTGTGTTTCTTAAGTTGCTATAATGGACCAATTACAAATTCTGCTCAATGCAACACAATTGGACCAATCAGAACCTAGGCTGCAATATTTTTCTGTAAGATCCTTTTCTTTATTTAAGTTATTGCATTTCTTTAATTATGATACACATTAGGGGTGTGGTTGAAAGAATAATTTGTATGAATATGTGAGACATGACTACACATTATGACATCAGACATCTTGTCTCTGCAGCAAACTTCTGGGTGGAGGCATTGAGAGTATGGCCATCACGGAGGCCTTTGGAGGTGGGATGATGTCATTTTCTTACAGCTCAACCAACGATTTGACTCATTTGATGTCATTACATTTGCATCTTTTTTTTGCCTAAAACGCTCCATTATTTCATCACACAGAGTTTCGAACTGGGAAAACCCAGCTGTCTCACACACTCTGTGGTGATTAAAGAACTCCGTTAAAATTATCTGGTCCAATGTGGTGATGGAAAAGTGACTTGGTGTTTTGTGCTTATTCAGTCACTGCGCAGTTGCCTGGTGAAGAAGGTTACTCTGGAGGGAAAGTCATCTTCATAGACACAGAGAACACTTTGTATCCTCACAATTATTGACATGATGACAAATTGTTGAAACATCAAGGAGTAAAACAAAAACCACTCAGTCTGGGAGTTTATTTGACTGTGATCTAAGCAAATTAGTGTTGGAAAACAAACTAAAAAGAACAACTTACTGGATGTGTGTTTTAATGTCATTTAACCTGTTACTCTGAACGACTGCCTCCTTGACGTGTTACTCTACTCAGTCGCCCAGACAGACTTAGAGACATCGCCAACAGGTTTAATGTGGACCATGACGCCATGCTGGACAACGTGCTGTATGCTCGTGCCTACACCAGTATGAATATCACAGCAGTTACTGTGTGTGTGTGTAAACTCAACAGACAGTGAAATCCTCTCTTTTCCCAGGTGAACACCAGATGGAGTTGTTAGACTTTGTTGCAGCTAAATTCCATGAAGAGGGAGGAGTCTTCAAACTCTTGGTCAGTGAAAGGAAATCACTGTCAAAGTTCAGTCAACCTGACTTTAACGTCACTATTTTGGAGATGTTTTTCTTTAAACCACCATGTAGTTTGGGGAATCCAAAAGAAATGATCACATCTTGCAAATCTTTGTTGCATTTGTTCTTTTCTTTTCACAGATCATTGACTCCATCATGGCCCTGTTCAGAGTTGACTTTTCGGGCCGAGGTGAGTTGGCGGAGCGACAGCAGAAACTGGCCCAGATGCTCTCCAGGCTGCAGAAGATCTCAGAAGGTCTGACCAGCTTGTGTCAAACATGCAAAGACATGTTCAATAAACTACAGTGATAAATATTTTAAATTTGTCCTCCAACCTGAACATCTCTGTGTTTTCTGTATGTTTAGAGTACAATGTGGCTGTTTTCATCACCAACCAAATGACAGCAGATCC